CCACGGCGGGGCGGGGCGCACGCCAGGGAGGGAGGCGAGCAGGGTCAGCTCCACCCCTTCCCTGCGGTACCGCCCCCCTACGCTGCTGCATTAGCTCCTGGGCTATTTCTCCTCTGTCTCCCGCACCGTGAGGTCCAAGCCTCTCTGGTTCCCTCCCTGATACAGCCTCAGTGCTTTTCACGGAATCAGGCCCACAGTAGGTGCTCGACACGTCTGCCGAATCCACGAAAGGGGGAACCGATCTGCTGTGCGGGGGGCTTACTTCGTCTGCACAGAAGTCCTGCCTTCGCTCCATCCCTTATTCCATGATAAACGGCAAATCCCATTTACTGTGTTATTGATTTGCCGTACTGCCCGGTTCCCCCACTAACGTGCCAGCCCCACGAGGGCAGGAGCTGCTGGCTTTCCTGCGTCATCCCCAGCACTTGGAACAGAGCTCGGTGGCGAGTCCACCTTCAGAAGGCGTGTGGTTCACACAGGTGTGCACGCAGGAGGGTGGGGACAGCCAGGGATGGCCCGCAACTGTGGAGAGCCAGCAACAGAGGTGCCTTTCCTTCCCCCCCCCCTCCTGCCTTTCCTCCCCCCCTTCCCCTCCCCTTCTCCTTCCCCCTTCCCTTCCTCCTCCCCCCTTCATCCTCCTTTTCTACCCCTCTTCCTCCTTCCTCCCTCTCCTCCTTCTCCTCCCCCTCCCCCCCTTCCCCTCCTCTGGCATTAAGCTTCCCAGCTCCTCAGTATAGAATGAAGTGCTATTTGTGTCTGAGATCAGGGATTTCTAAAAATAAACCTAACAAACCCCAAGCCTATAATTAATTTCTTTGATTCATTAAAAAAAAAAAAAAAAAAAAAGCAGCAGGCTTCTTTTAAAAAGCTGAATGAGCTTGTCTGTGACAGCTGTCTCCAGCGAGGAAGGCAGAGAAGCGACATCAGCCAGCGCTCCCAGGCGCAGGCGGGGGACACTGGGACGGCGTCAGACCTGCCCCCAGCCCGGGCCGCCGGGACCCAAGTACGGGGTAACATCTGCCCCAGGGCAGAGCCGCGAGCCCTTGGGGGACAGGCAGGCGGGCTACCCCCCCTCGGGCGAGGGGCGCTGGAAGGCCTGAGCTCCCCTGGGTTATCCAGGTGGGCTCCCAGGTGCCGGCGCTGGTGTGTGGGGTATCAGGTGGCTCGTGGGAGAACACGAGCACCACTGAGATGGCCGTGAGTTCATTTTCACGTGCGTCACGACAAATTCCGGCAGATCAAATTCGCAGCACTGTGTGCACGTTGACAAGTGACCTTGCTAAAAACAGCAAACAGATTCCTCGCTTATGTGACACTCTAGAAATGACAAAACCATAGTGACGGACAACAAATCAGCGGTTGTCGGGGCCGGGGCCGTGGGAGGGCGTGACTCCCAAGGGGTACCAGGAGGGGGTGTCTTTGGGGCGATGGGGCATCCCTATTCCCACGGTGGCGACACGAATCTCTACGTACAACCGACCCCACGGAACTTCACACGAGATGGGGAAGAGGATGAACGTAGAAACGGGCAAAATCCACGTAACGGCTTGTAGCCTGGCGGCCCGGCTTGCGCCAACATGGGCTCTGGGCCTGAGAGTGCGTCACGGCCCCGGGAGCCGGGCGAAGGGAACGTGGGAAGGATCGTAGCGGTTTATGTACCTTCTTGTGCGTCTCAAATTATTTCAAGATAAAAAGTTTTTAAAAATGAGCAGATTCAACGAAAGTACGAAATGATGCTGCAGGCGGCCTGCAGGCGCCAGGAACGTCTCGGTGGCGCGTGAACGGTGTTGCGTGCAGAGCACGGCCGAGGTCCTGACGGGTCGCCGCTGGATCCTGGCGCCTGAGACACACGTGGGGCCGGCCGGAGCTGTCTGGCTTGGGGTTTCCGGGACAGGGCGGGGCACAGAGGTGGAGGAGGGCGACCGAGCTCCCCTGGCCGGGCCCCACAGGACTCAGACACACGGGGAGACAGGGGGCACATGGAGGCACCCAGTGGCAGCACCCTTCCTGTGCCGCCGTGACCACGGCGTCCTTGGCACCCACTGCCGGCAGGCCCAGGACCTGAGCCCCCTGAGAATGGCCCTCAGTGACTCCCTCCTTCCGGGGTGTGTTCCTGTGTCCAGGGTCCCCTTCAGCGACAGGGACGGTGACACGCCGCCTCCCCTGCGTCCGGCTCTGCTGGGAGCGGACCTCAGAGCATCGGGGTGCCTGGGGCGCCCACGGAGGCTGGCGGGGAATGCCAGTGGGGAGGGGAGCAGGGGCAAGCCCGCGGAAGGTCGGGGCGGGGGGGACACAGCAAACCAGAGCATGGGTGTCCTGTCTGCATCCACTCAGTACCGTCCAGACCCACCATAGGCAAAACTTTGTCTCCCAAGAGCAGCAGAAAGTCTTCAGTATAATGAAAAACGTCTCAGTTTTTAAATGCCAACAAGTATCTCAGAGGCCAACAAACGGTCCGGGCTGATGAGTCCCATCTAGAGATGGCACGGCGGCTCCATGACTCCTGGCTAGTGTCCCCAGCACCAGCTCAGGCTGGCCTGGGTGGCCCTCGTGGCCCACAGGATGATCCCCCGCAGGGTCTGGGGCTCCAGGCTGTCAGATGGATAGTTGACAGTCTTTCTGGATGAACAGCACAGACTTCTACTCCAGGGCAATCGGCCGGCACCACTGAGAAGCCCTTCCCGGGGTGGGCAGCATGACGCTAGGACGGCTGCGGCCCGGAGCCACCTGCCCCGAACACGTCTGCTCTCTGTGCCTCTATCGGCCAGCCATGCTCACTGGTACGGCCCAAATCAGGAAAAACGAAACAACCCTGATGAAATGGTCAGCTTTTCCCTAAGCACGATGAATGGGAGAAACAGACAATTACCGGTGACGTTAAAGGTACCATCCCACCCTTAAGCGAACAGGGCATAAGACCGCAGGCTCCAAGCCTCTAAACGGTCCTGCGTCCAGATACTGATCAGAGGACGTCTGACTGCCCAAGGCCACGGGGACCAGGCTCCGTCAGGCTGACATCTTCCCTCGAGCACACCTTCCATGGGAGCTGATGGCAGAAGGTCCTGATGGTGCAGACAGGATGTTGCTGGGCTACAGGACAAACACGGGTGTGCCGTGTTGTGCCTGTCTGTCAGGGCGTTTGCTTGATCCACATCTGTCCATGTGAGGCCACTTGGTCTGGGCCTTGCTTCCATCATAACCTGGGGTAAAGGTGTAGGGGGGGTGGCCGAGCCTCTCCCACCTCCAGGTGCTCCCAGAGAGAACGGAGGGGTCGAGCCGGCCACGCCTAACTGCCTCTCCCGCTCCGGCCTCGCTTCCCCTCCGGGCATCAAGGGCAACGGCTATAGGGCAGCAGGACGTCAACCCTCGGAACCCAGGAGCTTCGGGTGCCTGTTCTCTGTAGCCTGGGTGGGTGGAGACTCAGGACAGCGAGGAGATGGGAGCTGGGGACCCGTGACACCCAACGTGCATTGCACGGGAAGACACTCCCTCTGGAAGCTCCATCAGGCTCTCCCCCTCCCGGAAGACAGGAAGGATTTCCGGGAGCACAGCGTCCTGGCCTGGCTATAGGGGCAGGGGCAGCACGGGTGGCAGATGCCGGCCAGCGGCTGGGAGGTGCCTCTGAGGGTCCCAGAGTCACCAGCAGGAGGAACCACTTCCCCGCAAACAGGAAGGCAGCAGTGACCCCGCTGATCCGCCCGGCTGGCGTATTTGAACAAAAGTATTTATTTCAGGATTCAGGGCATTGTCGCCTCCCGGGTGGGTGGCCTCCCAGGGAGCCGGCCACCTGCAGGCATCGGGAGTGGGGGCCGCTCAGAAGCGGCTGTGTTCTGACCGCGGCGGGAACAGATGGCACAGTCATCAGGCAAGTCAACTATCCCTGGAAGAAACGCAGCGACTTGCACATTTGGATGCGGGTATTTATAAAGATGACGGAAACACACCACGAGCACGATCGCTAGCGGGCCCAGCCCGGCCACTGGGTAGTTCACGTCTGGCGCTTGGGCTTCGTGAAGGAGAGCCATGTGGGGTGCCGTGCCCGGTCACCGGCGTCCGAGCAGGGCCGCCGTGGATCATCAGAACAGCAGGCGAAACCAGGGAGCGCTGCAGGCAGCCTGGGAGCAGCGGCTGTGTGTGGCGTCCTGACGTGCAAACAGGACTCGGGAGCCGTTTCTGAGCGCCACACGCCTGCTGCGTGCCAGGCGCTGCCGGGGGCTCTCACGCATTCTCGCGGGCCGTCAGGGGGACCCACGGGGTAAGGAGGTAGGAGCCCAAGGCACAGTAAGGAAGTAAGGCCAAGGTGCACAAAAGCCAGGGTCACACCACCAGGCAGTGGCCGGACGAGGCCAGGCCTCTGGATCCTGGACCCCCCGCTCACTCACGGGGGGGCCCCCGCTCACTCACGGGGGACCTGGAGGCAAGTCAATCACACAGCCTCAGTGGGCCTCGCTGCCTTCTCCTATAACGTAGGGCGAAGCACGTGTTCCAGGACCCAGTGGCAAACTGCAAGGTCAGACCCTGGGGGGCAGGGTGGGGACTCCGTTGCAGAAGCTAGAAACCTTCTACCCTCCATGGGCAAGGCCTCAGCACGGACACTGCTGGGGGTGGGGGATCGGGTATCCTAGTAACTCAGTCACCCAACCCCCTAACACACATCCACCCCCCCCCCCCCGGCCGGACGTCTCTTTTCAGCACCTCGGAGCCCATGCAAGTCTATCAGAATCCCCTAGATTTCACCATCAGTGGGGACACTCAGTGCCGTCGTCCCTGTGACCCCATGAATGAAGGAATGCCTTCTGCTGCCAGTTTCATACCCGTCTGGGTCGGCTCCTGCCTGCAAGCAGAGCCCATGGGAAAATCCACGGAAGCGCGTGGACGGGCTGAGTTCCAGAACCTCTGCAGGATGATGCAATGTTGACACTGAAACGAACCGCGTCGTAGCCAAGGGGAGACTCCGGTAAGGGAAGCCGTCTCTCCAGTTGACGTCTTACATCCTACAGTGTGTGGACCCAGCACGGCTAAAACACAAGTGTCTTAAACATTTGCTTTGGTTCGTACGAGTGAGCGTTTCCCCAACTGTCCAACTTAAATCGCACTGGATTCTAAGCTGGTGGGTCTGGACCATTGGAGTTTTCCTGCTTCGGTACGGACACCCTCTGTCACGTGGTTTTACGGGGGCAGATAAGCACCGATCGCTGGCGGGACCTCGGAACTCCTGAATCGCCTTCAGGGGTACCAACAGTGAGCGGAGGCGGCATCAGGGACACAGAGCTGGACTCGGGGGGTTAGTCCCGGGGCAGCCGAACTCCCCACCGTTGGAGCAAGCGTGGCGTCCTTGTCCCTACGCACGTCGTCTTCCAGCGGAGACTCAGGAGGACGGGGCTGCCGAAGCTTCTTCCGGCGGGGGCAGAGACCCCAGGCCGACCACGACTCCCGGGGCAAAGAGGCTTCTAGTAAAGACACGGAGGATGGAAAACGTTAATGATGAATCTTCAGATTCTCGACGTGGCTAATCCTTCACGCTTCAGCATCACAACCCCGACGTCCTGAGGATTCTAGAATTCAGGCGGGGCAGGGACGATGCCACAGCTCAGCCGCGTTCGGCTTCGTTTCCTGGGCCTGTGACGCTGTCCCGGTTTCTCCTGTGGCAAAGTGTCACTGGCTACGGCCGGTGCACAGCGGACACAGAAGAGAACGTAGGAGCCGTCCCTGCCGCAGTCACCAGGAAGCCCTGTGCTCCGGACGACACAGCCACAGGAGGCAGGGAGCCCGGGCGGGGCACTCCCGGGGGCCTTCCCAGGTGGGCGGCGGGTGTCGCCGACAGGAAACGACCTTTGTGTGTGCAGCGTGAAGCTGCGATGCGCTGGGGAGGCTGGCCTTACGCTTCAGCTGACAACCAGCTCCGGCTTTCTGACGGGACCAAACCCACGTGCTCCTTCACCCACACGCGCACTCAGTGCCACGGGGTCACCAAGTAACCAGGTGTCCTAACACCCGCCCAGCAGGGTGACGACGCCTCCCTGAGGGCCCCGCGACACGGTGCCGGCACATTCAGGGACCGGCGGAAACGTTTTCGTTTCAGTGTCCTTGAAAACCAGGAGTAAAGAGAATACGGGAAGAACGACTCCAACCTGGACCGTAGCCCTCTTTACACCCACGCAGATATACGTAAAACGTGACACTTGATATTTTCACGGGGCCCAGGAAAGTCACAACGCAGCCCGGATGCTGGGTCCCACCTCTAGGAGGGACCCCATGCCTGTCTGGGTTGGGGGAGCGCGGTCTGCTCTGGAAAGTCTCCCCAGATGCGACCCAGGGACGAAAGGAGCCCGCGAGGGTTCCTTCCTGGCTGTGACGAGTGTCTGGTGTCGCAGGCCATCTGATGCCTCATCCCGGAGCGGACGACCAGCAAGCTGGGGGCAAAGCAGTGAGGCGCTAGGAAGACGCCAGGGGGAACAAGCCACAAAGCAGCCAAACGCACATGTAAAGCACACGGCACCGACCCCGGTGAGAGCAAGCTCATCGCGGTGGGGGGGGGGGGGACTCCCCCTGCGACGGACCCCAGAGCCCGTCCCCTCCCACCCCACGGAGGGGCGCCGCGCCCCTGCACACTTTCCTCGGCTGCCCCAGACAGTGCCACCAGGGGGCCCGCCTGCCCTCGCAGCCCGGCTCTGCCCTTGCGAGCTGTGTATCCCCGAGCAGTTGGCTCAGTCTCAGTGCCTGATTTCCAACCGGTAAAGAGGATGCCGGCGGTGGCCACCTGACAGGGTCCGGTGCCCGGCGGGTAGTGGCCACGTGGTATGGGGGACCGTCTCCCGCTGTGACGCACCCGCCAGGGGAGGCGGGGCTTCTGAGTCCTGCACTGTGTGAACTAATTCACGACTCAACTCTCGCCGCAGTGTTGCTGGCAGAAGAGCTGAGCCCGGCTCCCAGGGAGGACAGGACAGGGAGGTCCCGGGAAGCCAGGCTGCAACGCAGCGGCTGAAGGGTGGGGCTCCGGCACCAAGTTCCTGGGGTTTGAGTCCAGATTTTGCTTCCTACTAGCTTGCCTTGGCCGAGTCACTTAAACTGACCGTGCCTCATTTTCCCCTGGGTCGTCATGGAGATGAAGTGAATGTGTGCACCAAGCTCTAGATGTCCCTAGATGCATCCCTAGAACGGCACTTGGCACAGAGTGAGTGTTCAATAAACGCTATAGTCCCTGCTGTTACTGTCGTTACTGTTAATCGATTTTAAAATATTTTCTTGTTTCTGTGTCTTGAAAGAACTCCCTCACGGAGGGATTAACTGACACTACCCGCTCTTGGGCGTACAGAGTGCTCTGTCGGGATTCTGGAAAAGCTCTGCTCTGCGTTAACTCCCGACACCCATCTTTGCTAAGCCCCGAAGCCAGTCCCGACGACTCTGCGGGTGCTGGGACTCTGCACACGTCCTGACCGGGAACAGACACAGCTCCCCTCCTGCCGTCCCCAAACATCCTAGCCATTCACTCATCAGAAAACGGGGCCTGGGACACCCACAGAACCGGCTCCGAGCACGACGGTGTTCTGAGGGATTTTATTTAACGTGTTTCTGGAGACGATCCTTACTACTCCTGTTTTCTGTCATGCTGGGTGAGGTTGGGGGGCTGTTCTGGGCTGTTCTGCCGAGTAGAACACCTGGCCAGTGGCAGTGACCAGCGTGCGACCCTCCAGGGACACAGACACGTTCCAGCACAAGCGTGTGGCACGCCACAGATGTTCCTTGTCGACGCTTCTGGTGACGGTGAGGGGGCAGAAGGGGTGGAGGTTCGGGTCACTAACGTGCTGAGCCACGGATCGGCTAAGACCCCAGAGGGCTGGCTGGTCCAACGTGCTGCCCTCTGCAGACTAGCCTCGCAGACACTGACCAACGCTTCCCAGACGCCAGCTGCATCCGAACTGGGTCCCTCCCAGGTTCCCGGCTCCCTCCTCCAGAGCGTCTGACTCCACAGGTTAGGCGGGACCCGACAACCCACATTTCTAACCAGCCCCCAGGTGATGCTGACACGGCCAGCCTGGGAACCCCACTCTGAGAACCACTCACCCCCAAAGTGGGAAAAGCGTCCCTTCCGTGAATACGTGATCCAAGTCAGAGTTTCGGAAAACACTCAAAACCCTGATCAGAGGGACACGCGGCTCCTCGTGTTCCCCCGGTGGGGGGGGGGGGGGGCGGGGGGGGAGGGGCCAGTGAGAAGCGTGGCAGCTTGTTCACGGAAGAAGGTAAGCCCCCAGCACAAACACAAAGGCGGAGCGTTCAGGGGCCAGGATCGAATCCCCGATGACCGACAGAGAAGCTGCATCCTGGGCTCTGGGCCCCGGGTCCCGTGAATGACCTGAGGGCAGAACGAGCCCCACCAATTCCCACCCCCACCCCCAGTGGTCATCGGGGCTCCGACATGCCCTTCCAGCCTGACCGTTACAGCCTTCGCGGAAAACGGGAGACCAGGTTCGCTGGGCCTGCTCAAGACGTGCGAGACCAGAGCTCGCGCCCCCGGGGCCCCCGTGGAGCCCCCTGCAAGCGGCTCCCCGAGCCCCCAGCCCCACTGCACCAGGAGGAACCTCCAGCTGCCGGCTCCGGAGGAAGAGCTGGGTTGAGCCGGCCCAGGGACCCGTGGACGCCCCATGCACGCGGAAGGCATCGCCACGCACACACGGGGACACGAGGTTCCCTCAAATACCTGCATGCTGTCCAAGGCGTTCTGGGCGGAGCGCAAAGCAGGACACAATCACAGGAAGGTGTTGTGAACAAAAGAAGACAGAGGATTCTCAGCACATCTGCACGGCCTTTTCCATTCGTTAAACCCAAAGCACGTTACGATGCTACCACATCCCAAAGCATGCACGGCCACCGGCGCCGGGTGGCGGGGCCTCGGCGGGCAGCTCCAAATGCGGGTTAGAACAAGAGACATGAAATCAGCGGGCTCCGGGTGATGGCAGAGGAAGCAGACCTGCGGCCAGGAGATGATGTGAATGGCAGCGGGGGGGGGGGGGGCGGGGTTCAGGCAGGGGCGGAGATCATCTGTCAGGGAGCAGCATGGCCACTTGGGGTCTGTGTCCATTCTCTCAGGTTGTGTATCTCCCACTGCCATTCGTCACACTCACCCCTCCAGATACTCGTTAGCTAATGGACGCTCTCAAAAAATCAATTCTAATACACGTGATGGTAGCGAAGCAACCTTTCCCTGCGGGAGGAATAGACGTTGAGAGGCAACGTGAGAGACGTAAGAGGTGTGCACGCGGTTGTCCGTGGCCGCTGGTCCCCTGTGGGTGAAGGACGAGGTCATCTCGGGGGACAGCCGCGTCCCATACCTGGGGATGGCAGGCCCGACGTCACCCACGCCCGTGCGTCTGCAGCGAGGGGGTCGCTAACTGTCTGACCTCTGTCCGCGTAGGCGGGAGGCCTGGCGTGGTCATTACTCCCATTTATCACGCACAGAGCGTGCAGGCGGCTGGGCCTCGGGGGGAGTCTGAGTTCCGTCCAGACCCGCCCATCCGCCACTCCTGGGGAGTCGTGGGGCTCCACACGAGGGACAGAGGTGCGGTCACTCCTCCCAGGACCCCACGCGGGTGGGACTTTGCACACCTCGCTGCCAAGCCCCCCCCCCCCCCCCCGCCCCCCCCGCGGCCCCGGGGGGCGGGCCCCCCCCCCCCGGCCCCCCGGGGGGGGGGGTCTGCGCCCCCCGCGGCCCCACCCCCCCCCCCCCCCCCGGCGCCAGCAGGACCGGCTGCAGAGAGGCCCCCACGCTGCGTTCACCGGGGGCGGTGCTGAGGCGGCATCTCGGATGCCGGTCACCGCTTTCATCACCTACGTCGTCCCCCTCCTAGCTCTGCAAATGCCTCCCCAGATACCACCTGCCAAACGCTTCCCCGGGATCAGCGCCGTCCCCTAAAGTGTGCCCTGCACAATTCACCTGCGGGCAGGGCGCCCAGGGGAGTGGCCCACCTGCTCGCTCTCCTTACTCCCGCGTGAGAGAGCGACCTCATCCTCCTTACGTGCCACCCGAGAGGCGCCCGCAGGGGACAGCAGGTCACACCTGAGGCCCCCGGCTCCGAGGCGGGCGGTGTGGCCATGGGGACGTGGCTGCAGCCCGCTTGTGCGTGCAGACCCCACGCAGGGACAGGTGCACGGCGCTACCGACCGGCTCCCAGTGGGTGCTTGGAGCCGTCGCCCGCTTCTGGGAGGCGTGAGTGCACATGCCTGTCCCCGAGCCCACCCACCCCCGGAGGCAGCCGGCTGACCGCGGCACTCACCTCCAGCAGCTGCACGGCGCCTTCGTGCTTCTTCTCAGCTTCAACCTGAGCCTTTTTTACGGCAAAAAGAGAAAAGAGTCAAGGCCTAAAGCAGGGGAAAGAAAAGACCCTCCAATCGATGTCTGGATCGTCAAGGCACGAGTCACTGCCTTTCCCCCCTAAGAAGCCCCCCCGGTCGTGAGGAGCTAGGTCGGTTTTGAGTCCTCTCCCCTCCGGAAAAAGACGGGAGGAACCCTGGCCGGCCGTGACGCTCTTCGCCAAAACCAGAAAGCGTGCACCGATGTGGCAATGAAGGCACAGGCCGGACGGAGCACGGGGCGAAGGCCCCGGTCCTGACGGGCGGCCACACGCAAACGGTGGCCGGACCCAGGAGAGCAGGACAACCCTGCCTGAGCCCTCGGACGGCATCGCCGTCTCCCCAGATGCCCTTCGCTGCCCTCCGCTGCCCTCAGCGTCACGCAGACTTGACCCGCAGGTAGCTGAAGGTCAGCTACAATGTCCCCGGGCCCCAAGGACAGGCAGAGACGGGGGCCCCGGGCATCCGGCAGGCTCCCGGCGGCTCAGCCTACGGCGGGGGCGGCCTCCTCCAATTACTTGAAGCAAAGCCATCTGCTTCACAGAATGAGAAATGTCACGAGTTTCACTGAACCAGTTTCCCAGGACGGCTGCTGCCTGAGCCAAGTGGGGAGTTCACGCAAAACCGAAACATAACGTGATCGTCCCTCGTCCCCTCCGGACCCGGGTCTGGCCTCGTGATGCCAGCGAATGTCTGCCGCCTGCCTGCCCGGCACTCGCGGCCCCCTCTCCTAGGAAGGGTCCTGAGTGTTCTGGGGCCACAGCCCCCGGACCGTGAGCATAACAGCTCTGGACTCCACTGGTTGGTTAAGGGCAGGTGTGCAGCCAGGTTACAGCAAAGACGCCTTGCCTGGGGATGCTGGGGGAGAGGGGACAGACGCTCTAGGCCTGCTGGACCCGAGCTGGAGTCAAGGACAGTGTGGAGCGCCACAGCTGTCGGGCCAACATGAGGGGCGAGGCTGCAGCAGCCAGTGGCCTCCAGCTGGACATCGAAAATGAAGCCAGTGCAGAGGCGAGCAAAGGCAGGAGCGTGCTGGATCCAGCCGCGTCTGAAGCCCATCTCGGCTGCGTGTTCGACTAAGATTCCCTTTCTGTTTTCTGTCCCTCAAAACCAAGAGTCCTAAGGGACACAACCATCAGCCGTTTGAGAACACAACATTTCCCGCTTTAAAGCTGGAAGCACTGAGGTTCGGGGAGAGCCCGAGGCTGAATCCCACACCGGGAGGGATAAGCCTGTCCCCACCCGCTGTGGCCGCACGGATGCCCCCTCACACTGGGTTCATTCCCAAAGGAACTGGGAAGTGGGTCTTTGGAGAGGTTGATCTCCCACCACTACAGGCACCTGCCTCAGAATTTCGAGCACTAGCGAAGGATCCGTGTGTTCAACTGAGATTCGCATCTAGAACTCGGTTCTAGAGCAACGTCATCTCCAGGCGCTGGCAGAGTAAATGGGGATGGGCCACCCAACATCTCAAGGAATCCAGACAGTGTTATCTTAACAGCCTCTCGGGAGGAGGCGGGAGCCCGGCTTCCCGGCACGTCGGACACCATGAAGCAGCCTGAGGTTCCTGCCGACTCCACCCACAGGCACCTCGTGGGCGCCAATGCCCCAGGAGGGGCTTCAAGAGCTGGGGCAGCGAATAGACTCCCGGATTAATTACACTGTTCTTGAATTCGGTGCAATCTTCAGAGTGCTGAAAACCGTTCCTTTCAAAGCAGAAATGAGAGCCTCGATAAATAACAAAACAGGGTAAAAGAGACAGCCATCCGGAGAACGTATAGAGATTATATAAATAACCCCACCATTGAGCCAGTTGAGTCAAAGATAGTTTCCAACTGGCAGGATGAAAAATAACAAAAAACC